GGGGCTTACAGTCCCCAAGTGGGCATGTGAAGGCATAGACGACGTTGGTTTCTTTCAAGGCGTTCTGTTTGGTGTCTGGGGAGTTTTTCATGAGTAGGTTGGTCGTTTTCTTGTTTTTGTAGTAAATTGTCAATTGTATCTTCTATGATACAAAACTCTCCAGACCCCAAACAGAACGCCTTGAAGGAAACCAACGTCGTCTATGCTTTCACATGCCCACTTGGGGTCTGTAAGCCCCAAAGATCTCAGTATATAGGCAAGACAAAAACGTCTCTTTCTAGGCAATTAACAATGCACAAACAACAGGGTTCCATCAAGGAACATATAATCTTTTCTCACAACCAGACCATCACTAGATAAATCTTAACAAGTAACACAGAAATCGTCGATAGAGACAGCGATAGCAGGAGACTCGACATCAGCGTGGCCCTACACGTCAAAAAGTCAACACCAGCAATCAACAGCCAATTAACACATAACTATTTTCTACCCACTTCAAGACCCTGAACAAACATAGAAGCAGCAAGAGAAAATATGGGACAATAAGCCTTCTGTAGTTACTTTTATTTTTTGGTCTTATATGCAATATGTACCCATTGATTCGTCTTCTGGCTTTTGTCACCTCGCCCAAAAACATTTGTGTCATTTCACCTCACCCAAGACGAATATAAGCATGAAATGATATGTGTAAACCTGTCTCTGAAAATGTGAGAAGTCCTTGCGAAATGCTTTTAGGCGTCAGACCATAAATAAAAAATGAGAAAATGATCTTTGGAGAGTTGATTTTTCAATTACCTCCAACAGTGAAGAAAAACATAGGAAATATTAAGAAGATTCGTGTTAGAATCATTAATCTTTCCCTTTCGGTCATATTCAACAATATATATATATATATATATATATATATATATATATATATATATATATATATATATATATATATATATATATATATATATATTCATATATATATATATATATATATATATATATATATATATATATATATATATATATTATATTATTCATATATATATATATATATATATATATATATTATATATATATATATATATATATATATATATATATTCATATATGCATATATGCATATATGCAACAAGCCTGAATGGTCCCCAGGCATATATGCAACTGAAAACTCACACCCCATACTGTGACTCGAACCCATACTGCCAGGAGCACTCTGCAACTGGTGTACAGGACACCTTAACCACTCGATCATCACGACAGGACAGAAGATGATGGTAGACGAGGCTAATTCCCCATCATCCCTCCGGCACTCTGATTGTAATCTTGGGCATAGTATTTTATCAAATCACCTCATTCTTTGCAGTTGCAGAGTGCTCCTGGGTTCGAGTCACTTCTGGGGTGTGAGTTTTCAGTTGCATATATGCCTGGGGACCATTCAGGCTCGTTCGCATTTGTGTTCCGCTCACGTGTGCCCCAAAGAATGAGGCGACTTGATAAAATACTATGCCCAAGATTACCATCGAGTCCGATGCGTTAGTAGACGCCAATAGTTGCCATGGCGTTATTTGTTACTCACGGCAGGTTGTGTGAAGTCGCTTCCCATAACACTAAAACGCTATTGATGGTGATCCTTGTCCCCTAACTTCCCTTGCCACTTCTAGGGGGTATAGGGTGTTTATGTAGCTTCAGGGCACCAATCCCCCCCAGCCACAGGGCATGGCGAGAAGACCTTTAGCCATAACCTCAGCACTCGCTCATGCCCCTCAATAACTGTTCTAACGACGCAGTGTGCACGTTATCTTGGTGTGCATGTTATCTTTGCGGGGTGTTAGTATTGGGGTTAGTAGCATAGCTAACTGGACCAGACACAAAGAGTCTATGATGGG